ACATCACTGTCGCTATTAGGGACCTCTTGCCATGCCCATTAGGAGCCCCGATGGCAGAGAGGGTTGGCCTTGTGCTGCTAACTGAATGGTCTACTAGACAATGTTAATGTTAATGTCTACTAGACAATGTCTGATTAAAAGCTAGGCTTAACAGCACTACCTCTGCATTTTCTTCTAAGAATTGCATGGTTTTAGTTTGCACTTTGAGATCCTGAATCCATTTGGAATTGAGGCATAGGTCTTGCTTCACTTTTCTGCAATGCCGAACTCTCTCCAAACTCACTGCCATCGATTGAGTTGGTTCTGTGACCCGGCAGTACCAAGGAGAACTGCCCTGTGCGTTTTCCAGGCGGGAACTCTTGGTGAGAATAGGAAGTCTTGTCTTTCTCCTGCAGAGCCGCTAGTGGCTTTGCACCGCTGGCCTTGCCGTTAGCATCCCCGGGCAGAGCCCACTGTGCCACCCATGCTCCTCTTCTCCCTGGGTACGACTCAGTGCCTGATTGATACTGTACCATCAGGACCCTATAGAAACCCAAGTCCCCCAACACCCCTTCTTGGAGAGACTCTGCTTTCCTCATCAGGGAGACTTGGCACCCCTGTCAAAAACTGGAGACTTGGCACCCCTGTCAAAAACTCAGTTGGCCAGAAGTACTAGCTGGTCCCTGGCCAGCCCTACTGACCGCTGACCAGGGCCCCAGCAGACAGAAGCTGGTAAAACAACAGAGGAATATGGGGAAGAACTCAAATGCATAAAAAGCCCAAACTGACTGACCAGTTCAGACTAGAGGATTCCCTAAGACTATTGCCCTGAGATAGCCGGTACCCCTTGGATCAAAACTACCCCTCCCACCCCCAGGTCATTCTTGAACAAGGTAACAGGTAGGAAAATAAAATGTAGAACATTACCTGTGAGCATGGTGTTCTATCAAAAAACCCACAAAACGCAAAACATCTATGGGAGACCAAAGGTCACCAATTATACTCAAGCACAGATGAGTGGATACGGGGTGGGGGTGGGGTGGGGGTCAGAACACCAGGAACTGGGGCAGTCAGAACACAACGAAGAGAAGTGTGGACACATTGGAACTAATATCACCAAAATATCTGTATAGAAATTGCCAAACGGGAGCCTAATTTGCCAGGTAAGCTTTTGCCAAAAGCCAATAAAATGCTGGTTATATAAGCCAGTTGACCACAGATTTATAAGATCTGCTCTGGAATCCTCATTCTATTCCGGTGGTCTCTGTGTCTGTTTTATTTTGCTTTCTC